GAGGCCCCGCCGCCCTCGCCGTCGCCCGCCGGAGCTCGCGCCTGCGCTCTCCGAGGGCCCCTCGCCGGGCACGTCGCTCCCGACGCGGGCTTTTACCGCGAGGATGACTTCCGCGCTCGGAGAGGGCACACAGCGGGCTCTGTCCAGAACTCAGCCCAACCCGCTGCGTCCACACTGTCTCCCGGACAGGCTAGGTCGCGGTGCAGTGCCGCGAACGCCACGTTCTCTGGGGAGGAGGTGCAGGGATCGGGGTACGTGGCGCCCTTTCCCAGGCTTGCCTTTGCAAAGTCGGGCAGGCGGGACTGGCTCGGGCTCACGGCGGACCTTCTCCAAAGGCTCTGCGCCTACTGGGTCCTCTGACCCGTGTCTGACCCCGCGCTCCCTCGATGCCCCAGCCCGGGAGACTCCGGCCTCAGATGCCCGCTTGTATTCCGTGAGAGGGAGCGCCCCCTAGGGGTGCCCAGGTGTTGCGGCTTCAGAGAAATGGACCCCCGAAGCTTTTTGACCGCGAAGAACAGTGTCATCACCTGATCAAACAGGTAAATTAAATCATTACAGAGTAATATTAACAATAAAGGTAGCTTTATACCAAGTCTTCGCATGTATCCCTTCTAGTGGATTTAATACTGTTTTCTGTATAAATTCAGAGTCCTCAATCACATGACAAACGGAGTCGAGAACAATGAAGCAGCACTCGACGACGTTTAGAACACAAAAGTTTTAAGAGGAAATAGCTAGACAACAGCTGTCATAGTCAGTTTCCGCACTGCTAAGGCACAATTCCCAACGCCCACCGCTTACAGGAGGAGGGCTTTTGGCTCACAGCTGGTAGGGGTCTCGGCCCATTGTCCGGTGGCTCCACGGCAGGACAGCACGGCAGTGCGGCAAAGAACAGGGATAGCTGCTCGGATCTTGGTGTCCCAGAGGCAGAGCGTGAAGGGAGGAGCTGGAGAGAGGCAAACTCCTCCACCGTGATTCCCTTCTCCAGACCAGACCCTGACTCCTAACAACGAGTCGGCCGAAGCTCCATAATCCAACCACCTTCCAGAAACCCCACTCTTGAGCATACCAGGCTTTGGGAGGCGGCTAGCTAGAAACCAACAACGATAGTGTTGTAGGGCAGATAGTTTCAGTGGACATAATGTGATTTGAAAAATAAAATGAATTATGAGATTTTCAAATGGAAAGGTTCCTGTGCTGATGAAATCCGGGGTGTGATAAAGCAGTTTACTAGGAGATGCACAATGAACAGGCAGTTCTATTTGGGCCAGAAATCTAAAAAAACAATGTTTCAGGAATCTGAAGGGTCATTCCTTTGCATTATCAATTGCTGAGTTCAAAATCACAAGAAAGGCTGAATCATGCTAAAATAAAATGGCCTCTTGACTGGGAGAAATGAAAGGCATCTTTGAAAAATTAAAGCAGATATTATAGCTAGACTTCAAGCAACAAGAATCAAGAAGGTGGAAAATTAATGCTCTAATTTCTGAAGGTTCCAGTAGATTGAAGGACTCAGTTCCCACCTTAATGACTGAGTCCTACAGAGAAGACAGCAGAGAAAGGGACATGGGCAGCGGGAAGAAAAGGTTGGTTAGGATAAGAAGGTGCAAAGAAGACGTGGAAACGAAGGTATGTAGGCACTTTGACCAAGACTAAGGAAATGTATAGAAAACAACTGATGTTAGAGTAAAACCAATTCAGCTCTGAGTCTGGCATTCACTACCTCTTAGCTGTTCTTAAACAAGAGATTTGACTTTTTTTATGTCTCAGTTTTTCTCATTTGAGAAATAAGTATCCCTCCGTTGAGGTGTTGTTGGCACAACTGGATGATGTAATGTGTGGAAAGCACCTAAGCACTCTCAGGGCATCTGTCAGGTGAATGCTGACTGATGTGGTCTGTTAGGTTTTGGATCCTGACATTGCAAGCACCTTATGGTGTGATGTGATGTCAGACCTGTGACAATAGTGGGCCTGGTGGACCATAAAAGTACTGAAAACAAATGCCAGCACCTAGTCCCTGTTCTCTTCCCCCCACTCTTTGCAATAGAGGTGGGTGGCAGGTGCTGGACACAGAGGATGACAAAGGTGACAGGAAAGCAAGCATGTGAGACCTAAACATGGGAAGTGTCACTCTGAACAGATTAGACACATTTTGGTTTCTAAATTTCAAATTAATCTTTTTAACTGATACATGACATAGAATTATGGGTATCGATAAGTACCATGTGATGTTTCAATACCTGTATATATTATATAACGTCTCAATCAGGTTAAACATACCTAACCTACTCAGACGTTTATCACTTCTTTATGATTAAAAAGTTAAAACTCTTTCTTCCAGCTGTCTGAAAGCAGTGGTGCTCCAACCTTTTCTTCCCACTGCCCGTGTTCCTTTATCTGCTGATACAGCACATTATCAGCTCATTGCTCTACCTCAACTTCTTGCTCCTAACTGTACTGTAGTACCCACCAATCAACCTTTCCCCATCACTCCCTTCTTCCCACCCTCACGGCCTTTGGTAATACCTCTACTCTCAGCTTCTAGGATAGCAATGTTTTAATATTCTATGTGAGTGCTGGGCGTGGCAGCACACACCTGTAATCCTCGCTCTTGGGAGGCTAAACTAGGAGGATCACCATGACTTCGAGGTTAGCCTGAGCTACATAGTGAGTTTAAGACCAGCCTGAATTACAGAAAGAGATCCTGTCTTTAAAAGTAAAAAAAAAAGAAAAAAAAGAAAAACCAAAAAATATATATATATGATCATGTGGGAGTTATCTGTGTCTGTCTTGTTTCACTTAGCATAATGACCCCCAGTTTCATCCACAATGTCACTAGTGACAGAGTTTCATTTGTTTCATGGCAAGATTCCACATTCATACCACATGGTACATACATACTGTGTTTTCTTTATCAGTCATCAGCTGATGGGTCATTGTTTATATTTCTTGGCTATTGTGAATAGTGCTTCAATAAACACTGGAGTGTAGATACCTTTGTCATATACTGATTTCATTTCCCTTGGATACACATCTAGTAGGGAAATTGCTGCATCATACAGTATTGTAGTTCCATTTTTAATTTTTTGAAGAACCTCTATACTGTTTTCCACAATGGCTATACTATTCACTCTCACCAACAGAGTGTAAGCAAGGATTCCTTTTTAACTACTTCCTCTCCAGTTTTGGTTTGTTTTTTGGTACTGCAGATCGAACCCAGGGATACTCTAAACTGAGCTACATCTAAACCTATTTATTTATTTATTTATTTATTTATTTTTCAGACAAGATCTGAACAAGTTGTCCAAGCTGGCCTCAAATATGAGAGTCTCCTAACTCAGCCACCAGTGAGCTGGGATTACAGGTGTTTGCCACCACACCAGCTTCTGTTGTCTTTTTTATAAAAGCCTTTCTACCTGGAGTGAGGTGACATCTCACTATGGCTTTGATCGGCATTTCCCTGGTAATTTGTGATGTTCAGCATTTTTGCGTATACTTGCGAGCCATTTGTGTCTTATCCTAAGAAATGTGTGTTTAGGTCCCTGTCCGTTTTTTAATCAGGTTTTTTGTTTTGCTATTAATTTTTTTTTCATTTCTTGTATACTAGACATCTCTGAATGGGAGATTAAGTAGAAACACATATTAGAGTTTAAAGAGTCAAAACAGAAACAAAAAGGACAGAGATAAGTTAGTTCAGTGAGGAAAGTGGGATGGTAAATGTAGTAGAACTATAAACCTGGGAATGTTAGCAGTATTTCACATTGGACTCTTTTTGTAAAGTACCTTTCCGTGTTCAAGAGTGTGCACTTCAGTGTTCAAGAGGGTGTATATAAGCAGCATTGAGGCAATACAGTGACAAAGCTTTCTCAAAAATTCAGCACTACAAAGCAATCTTCCTCCCAGACCTTTGCAACACAAAATATATTCTTTCATTTCACATAGATTTCATGTTGGTATCTGGTATGCTACATGGGGAGGAGAGCATACATCCAAACAACTGATGCAGGAAGAAAGTGTTTTGAACATATCTTTTTAGACTACAAGAATATGCACATCTATCGATAGCAGGAAAGATTCCAAGATTGGATCAAGGATTTGGGGAAATCAATATACTTAAGTCCCAGCTGTCTCATCAAACAAGGGCTCCAGTGAGCAATACATGACCTCAAAGGTCACCTGAGGATCCAAAAATGATGCTTCTAGGTGTTATGGCTTGTGTCTCAATGTCCCCCCAAAGCCTCATGCAGTCATGGGGCCTCATGCAGTCATGGGGTAGGCAGGTTTTTCAGAGGAGGCCGAATCTAGAGTGTGTGATAAAAGGAATGTGATGAGTAAATCAGTCCACTGATTGG